ATTCTTTCTTTCTTAACAGAACTTTGTAAGCAGACATCTTGCTTACACATCCTTAATGGTCCCTCCATTGCTGATGTTCCCTCATGTAAGGTATATATGTAAGTAGCCTACCCTCCATTAAGCCATATTCCAGTCCTTTTTACCACTACAAAATACTTTCTCACCACTTCCCTGTACAAACCCCCTGAATGAAAAAAAAAGCTAGTCTCAATGCATACTGTATTATGCTATTTATATTCTTGAAACAATAAAATTATAGAGATGACTTGAAGATTAATAGTTACCCAAGGTTAGAAATTGGAGAAGAAGAAGTGGATGTGGCTAGATATGAATATCATGAGGGAGCCTTGTGATGTTGGAACAATTCTGATTGTTCATTGTGGTGGTGATTATACAAATCTATACATATAACAAAAATACATAGGCATATAACATGTAGACAAAAATAAATACATGCATAACTGGTAAAATTGGAATAAATCCTATGGATTGTACTAATCCATATGGATCATCAATTTCCTAACTATAGCATGATAGTTTTGCTATCATGTTTACCACTGGGGAAATTAAGGGCATATGTAAATTCCCTGTACTTCTTTTATTTGCAAAATTCTGTGAATTTATAATTATTTCAGAAACAATTTTAATGGTAAAGGGTAGTTAACTTTAAAAATGGAGAAAAAGTTGAAGTTTTTAGTGGAGTTTAGAGATCGCTCTCAATGAAATTGGGTCCATCATATTCCAATTGTTCTGAAACGAAAATAACAATTTCAGAATGAGGAGGAGGGAGTTTATCAGTACACATGTGCTCAGTTCTGAAAAACAGAAGCTCTGAGACCATGTCAAACACTGGTAGCTGGATCATTCTAAAAAGTTATTTAAAAAAACAAAACCCAAACCAACCAAACAAGCAAAAGCAAACCAATATGCCTTAATTTCTGTTCCGAATGATTTGATCTTAGGATGAAAGGTTCATGTATGTACCTACATCTACCATGTATAAATCTATCATGTATGGTTATAGTGTATACCAAACTAACACGGTGTAATGAGCTCTGAGATTAAAAATCGGCACAAAAATAGGATAAGGGAACTTTCATGCACTAACAGAGCACAACTATGAAACTCTAAGAGTGGAAGGATGAAGAGAGGTTGGTTAATGGGTACAAACACATGGTGATATAGAAGAAATAAGTTCCAGTGTTTGATAGTAGAGTAGAGTGACTAGAATGAACAATAATATATTGTATATTTTGTATATTTCAAGATAGCTAGAAGAGAGGTCCTGAAATATTTCCAACACAGAGAAATGATAAATACTGATGGTGATGGGTACCCTAAATGCCCTCACTTCATCATTACACATTCTATGCATGTAGTATATAATACCACATGCACTCCATAAATATATGCAAATATTCTGTATTGGGAAAAAACTCTCTAAGGAATGAAATAGTCATGTGTTATTTACATACAGGATAGTCCTCAGTATAAACATTAGGTGGAATCTTGTTCTCCTGGGCTGACAGTAGCTTTTGAATGCCAGAATGTTCTAGTAGATTTTTTTCATCTTCCACCTTCAAACAACAACCAGTTTTATGCAAGATTCTTAAACAATGATGGTATGAATATAATAGCGGCTTTGAGCATTTTATTCTTGCAGAATTCAGATGTTTTGCACAAGTATATACTAATTCCTTCTAAAATCTCAGTTTTGTGAGTTATTGATTTATGGGTGTTAAACATAGGCTGTTATATTCATTGGCTTTAAAAATCATAAGGCTCTATATAAGCAGAAGACGTTCTACTTATTTATTAGGGTTACAAGTAGGTCCTGAGCTGCCAGGTAGCATCATATACCTGAAAGAAGTCTCTAGGATAGCAAAATGGGTGGCAGACATAGCACAATTACTCATGCCCCAAGATGCAATCATTAATTCTGGAACTGAAGCAGAGTTGGTAACTTCAACATGGATCAACTAAGTTGGCCCAAGCATGACTATCACCCCTCCAGAAAAAAATAGCTTCCTAAAAATGTCTTATAATAGACAATTATATTATTTGCTTGCTTGTTTCTTTTCTTATTTATGGTCTGTTTCCTCAAACTGTACGTAAGCCCAGATTTCTCAGGCTTCTGCACCTTTGTGTACCAGTTTAGTGGGGTTCCTGGTATAGAATAGATGCGCAATAAGTATTTTTTGACTATGCTGACTAAATGAGCACCTCTTCACTAGACAACACGCTGTTTGATAATTTTTTAGTGGTAGACCATTTTCAAATTCTGATGAAAACTATAAACCCTCTCCTCAGAAAAATGCACAAAAGATATTATTTTTTAAATCTTCTATTGGATTTATAGGTCCACCTGAAAGCTCTGCCTATGAAACCCATTTTCAAGGATGAAATTATGACCACAATTTGCTACTAACTTTCTGTTTTAGTTCTTTCAGGCATTCTCCAGATTGTTTGCCTAAGCCAATTATCTTCCCTATTCTATGTCATTATTTCTTGTGTTTTCTGCTATTTGTTATCATTAACAAATAGTCCACATATACGCATTGTATTTTAGCTATAACAATGTAAAAAGGGTGATTTAGCTAATAAAAGTGACTTCTATCATTTTTGATAAAGTATATAGTCTCCCTCCCCCTTTTAACCCTAAGAAAGCTTGGTATACATTTGGTGTAATCTCATAATCTTTTTTTGTAAAGGTCACTCAGAGTAGAATCTGAAAGAGAAGAGTAAGTCACATTCACATACACAGGAAAACCTCCTGACTGTTATAGATGGAGTGGCTTGAAATATGAGCACAAGTGGAGAAGAGGCACCTTGTTTAGTTACCTTAAGAAACGAAGTATGCTGAAGACCTCAGATGGCTAACTTTTTGTTAGAGAAATGTCTTTAGTTGTCAGTAATGAAAGGTGCCCAAGTGAACCTTGCTCATACTCTGAGCTTTTGGGAAGCAGAGAGTTATCATTCCATGTGAATTGAGCTGTGCCACCAGAGAAAACTTACCCTGACTTCCAAAAGCCTTCATAAGAGCCAACTCTTCCAACACAATCATCAATCAACTATGAAACTCTGCCTTGAGAAATTAGCAATCTTACATTTTATTTCTTCTGATTTACAAAAAGAAAGTTCATAGTGCTACAAAGTACTAGAGGCCACAATTCAAACCACCTTCTATGATCTGCCTTAACCCTGGAGTGGCCTGTTCCTGGGGACCTTGCCCAGTAAGGCAACTGTCCATCTCCATCTCAGTAGCTGAAGTAAATGCAGAGCATACCATGTCTACAGGGCAGTGTGCCCCAGCAGCAGCCATAGGAAACATCAGTGGACTCAAGACTATAACTCATTTACAGAACTGTCATTGTGGTGCCCCACTCTATATCACAGAAATATTGGGAAAAGCAAAAGCACTCACACAGCTGATGCTTCAATGAGTTGACCCAAGGCAGGCTGCTAACATTTGTACTGCAGTTGGGGTAAAGAGCTTTAGCTATGGCTGTTTTGCTTTTTCCCACTCAAGGGCTTTTTTTCTTAATGGCTCAAACATACATCAAAACAACAGTGCTTGGTGTTTGTGCAATGAGAAACTTTCCTCTAACTCTGCAAAGAAACTTTTTTCAAGGGTGACTTTCATAAAAATGGGTTTAAATGCTTATTTCAGCAACCCCACATGGGAAACACAGTGTTGCCTATGCATTATTTTAATTTAATTAAGTTCATCCTATCCTAAAATCTGGTTCCTAACAAAGACAAGAGATAGTTAAATATAGACAATTAACAAAACCATATCTGCAAACTGAAGTAACCAAAGCTTTTGGAAGATGTGTTGGTAGCTTTTCTCCTCTACATTCACAAACACTTTTGAAACTAGAAGCACAGTAGTTTTCAAGAAATAAAGTCAGAAGGACTTGGTACAAAGCAGAAGTAATGAGGAGACAGGAGTCACATAATTGAATAATGAAATTTTCTACTTATCAAATGTAAGTCATGCCCTATTAGAGTGAGCATCCACTATTACCAGGATGATTCCAACTATGGAAGACAACATAGAGGATGAGGAAGCTTTAGAATTTATGAGGAAACTAGTAGAATTGCAACAATATACACTTTCTCCATGTTTCACAAGGTCTACATTTTATTTCAAGCAGTAATTAGGCTTAAATATGGCAGTATTCAATCTAATTTACCATTATAGGTGGTTTTTCTAGCAAAAAACTACTTTTGGAGGCTTTATATAGAATTTGTTAACTTGGTCTTTCAAAAGATAAATAAGGCCAGGCACAGTGGCTTACTCCTGTAATCCCAGCACTTGGGAGGCAGAGGTGGGCAGATCACTTGAGGTCAGGAGTTCAAGACCAGCCTGGCCAATATGGTGAAAGCCCATCTCTACTAAAAAATATTTTTTCAAAAAATTAGCTGGGTGTGGCGGCAGGCACTTGTAATTCCAGCTATTTGGGAGGTTGAGGCAGAAGAATTGCTTGAACCTGGGAGGAACTGTCCCAGGCAAGAGAGCCCAGATCTCACCACTGCACTCCAGCCCAGGAAACAGTGAGACTCTGTCTCAAACAAAATAAAACAAAACAAAAGATAAATAATAGTGCAGTATTACATGGGAAACTATTTCTGATAGTATAATCACAGAAACTACAGTCTTTATCATAAAATAGGACAAACACATTTGCTATTGAAAAACTATCCTGATCTAAATACAGCAGTTGTGATTTTTTTTCCAGGGACTGGAATGTACATAGTTACTAACATGTTCATAACACTTTAGAATTATACAAAATGGGCCACATTTTAAAAATCACATACACACACAACCACCCTGGGTTTATCCATCCTCCTAAGGAGCAATTTTAGAAGTACCTGAGAATTCTGAAGTGAGCAACCCACTGATGAGTAAGTCACTTTTCTAAACCTATGGACTGTCTCCACTGCACCTGTATAGAAACTGGATACCCCGTGCAGAGGGAACCTTACATGCATACCTATATTTCATGCCAGTCTGCTTTGCGGTGGACTCTTTGAGAGAAATGTGATGCTGAGGCGTGAACGTCCCCAGGCTGCGCGCGATGATAGCGACCGTGCGGAATTTGGCCCGGGCTGCGTTCACCACATTGGGGGCGGTGGAGCTCTGCTTGCTCAGAAGTCGGTCCTCACCATTCCGACTCTTCAAATTGTGTTCTGTGCAGGCTATGGAGACTTGCATTGCTTCCCTGGGCAGCGCACGGTCCCTCTCAGAACCCCAGAACACAGGCAGTCACTAGAGGTTGAGCGGTTGGGGGGATTTCTGCTTGTCTTTTAACCCCTCCTTGCTCCCCCTTTGGGATGCAATCAAAGGAGTCTTGGCGGCTGACTTCCGAACCGAGCCCACAAAGTGGCACAAGGGGCTGCGGTGCAGAAAGAGTCCCGGGGACCCAGAGAAGTAAACAGACGGCCCCGAAGTTGTCACAGCAGCTGGAAGGAGAACCAGGCTTGCAAATCTTCCCGGGCTGTAATCTCGGCTGATTAAACTGCCAAATCCATGTGGTAGGGAGGTTTCTGCAGAAGCCTATAGCTGAGCATTCATGGTGACTGCGCGCAGCCCTGAGCGGAGCCGGTCCGCGGTGTCTGAATGCGGGCTCGCTTCTGGGCGATGGCTCAAATCAGCGCAGGCTTACCGCAAGATGCGCTGCCAGTATCCCCTGGACCACAGGCAGGATGCTCAGCTGGCGCACGGAGCATCCCAAGAAATGGCTAATTGCAAGCGGGTCCCCGCTGACTGGTAGTCTCCATCCACTCCGACTGTCAGCTCCCTCCCGCCTCCGCTCCGGGAGGACGTGGGGGCTCCTCAAGACCCCTCCCCACTCATTCTCGAGCTGAGAACGGGTTGCTGATCCCGCACCGACACGGGTTTGCAGCTGCACAGAGGAACAGGCAGGTCCCTTTAAGGAGCGCTTTGCCTTTGTGTGCGATGAGAAGGCAAGGATCACTTGCACCAGACTCTGGCTGTAACGAATCGGGAGGGTTGCTCCATAAAAAAAGGGCTCTGCCGAGACTCAGATCAAATCTGCTGCAGCACAACAGTTGGAACTGGGGGAAGGCAGAGAGGGGGTGCTTCTGCTGTGGAACATGCCAGTGAATTAACACGTGAATACTCTGTGACTGGCTTGCTGAAACACAGCTTGAAATCCCTGTTATTAGCCTTGTCAGAGTTCTTTCCTCTCTGCAAGTTATTTCTTAAGCAGATAAGTTTGAAGTTGCCTGAAATGCCACAGTGCAGACTTTTGCAATCAATTCTGCTAACTTACTGCAAAATGTATTCTGGCGACCAGAGGAGGGACTGGGGTGGGGGAGGGGCAGCGATCCAGCACCACCCAGGAAGGGACTGCACTAGGTGTGCAGCAGGTCCATAGCACCACCCAGGAAGGTCCAGATGTGTGGCTGAGACCACATACCCTGAACATCTTTGGCCAACTGTGAAGACAAGCACTATCTCCAGGTCAGGTGGGCAGTAAGACATCCCTGGGGACTCTGAACCCACATGAGGCAGGAACATTTTCTAGTTTGATGTCAGGTGCAAGGCAATTGCTCAATAAATATGGCTGAACCAAACTAAGCATCAATTGGGTAGTAATTTTCTTTCCATTTGAAATGTATGAAAACCAAACCCCTCTCACAGATTTACTTACAATAAAATTATGGCTTCTGCAAAATCAGCTTTCTAAATGTGGTTCCCAACAGACACTGCTGTCAAGCCAAAAGAACTAGTATTTAAATCAACAATATTTCTGAATACTGTCACTGTATTAGGCAATGAAGATCAATATGGAGAAAAAAGGAAGCACTGTCCCCCTCCTCAAGGAACAGGCCATCTGGGTGGGAAGGACAAAACATTCAGCCTTAAAGGGTCTGACTAACAATGTTAGAAAACATATTATGACATATCTAAATGAGTGGCATAGACACTAAATACACTAGAGAAAGTATACTGGAGAAAGTTATTCATTTTGATTCATTCCCCACACTTCTACCAAGTCCCTGACTTTGCTTGTTGCTGGGGCGCAAAGATGGCTGAGACAGAGGCTGGGCCTTCAAGATGCTCATGGGAGCCCAGGCAGCCCTCCTAGAAGAAAGGGACTTTGCCTGGGACATGAAAAATGGGTTGAATTTGATTAGCAGGAGAGAAATAAGGCAGTGATCCCAGGGATTGCAGGGTTTGGACAGGACACACACTCTGTATCTATGTGATTAAAAAAACAGCTGGTCTAACCATTTCTTCCCAACTGAATAAAATTGCAGGAATAAAATTTTCAAGTAGAATATTTGCCTGTGTTGCATTCTATTCCAAATATGAATCTTAACATCTTATAATCTGCAGATAAGATTTAAATCAGATTATAGAATCTCATCATTCAGTCTCTGTAACTTTCCCACTCTTTACTTTAAGAAATAAACATATTGATTAATGTTCAGTGATTGAGAAGTAACTTTAGAATGAGTGAGGGTTGGGGAGAGGAAAAAATAAGCCTGTGACCCCTTCTTATACTCTCAGCTCTGAAGAAGGAGTACTTGAAGCATATCTTTACTCCCTGGATAAACAACAGTGGGCAGAGAGGAAGCCAGATCATTAGAACCTTTATTTTTTCACACTCAGCCTGCTCATCAGAGATGATCAATGTGAATTGGGAAAGGAATCAAAATAAGAAGAGGAAGAAGTGGGAGGAATCAGAAGGAACAGCTCAGAAAAAGGAAAAAAATAAAGCAGTCTGGGAGGCAAGACAGAGTGAATGGATAATCATCTGGCCAGAGAGGTCAGGAGCCAGGAACTTTAGCTTGGACACTGGCTGAGCAGAAGATGTGTGGGTGGCTCAGGGAGGAGGTAGAGTGCTGCCACTTCCACAGGGAGGACAGAGGACATTGAGGGTAGGGAAGGTCTGGATGCTGTTAGCCGACGTGACTTTCAGCCTTGCCAAGAACTAGCAGAGCAGTGCCTGAAACCACAACCAACAGCAGAACAGGGAATAGGTTATCAGAATGAAACATGCAAGGCAGAGTGCCTCTTAGTCACCTTTTTATCCCCCATAGGACCAAGCAGAGTGCCTTGTGCCTAGCAGGCCCTCACTCTATAAATAATTGAGAGAAGGAGATAAGAAAACAAAGAAAGGAAGAGGGAGGAAGAAAGGAAGGAAGGTAGGTGGATGGGAAGATGCCATATTCTTGGATAAACTTGATTCCTTAAAAAAAGAAAGAAAAATCCTGCACGTTCTAGTTTAAGCACAGCCAGCTCACTTGAAAAGAGTGGATAATTGCCCCACATTCATGTCTGTGCCTCTGTGTGTAGATGAGTGTCCCAGCCTTTAGGACATGTCTCAAAGAGAATCAAAGACCTGAGGCCAGAGGATGCTCACAGTGACAGTCTCTTTCTGGCTGCCCACAGTGCACCTTTTCAGATCTGACACCACATGGGCATTCTGACTGCCAGCCAGCGGCTTGGTGGCTTCTCCCAGCCGTGCTCCCCTTCCCAGCATTAATGGAGCAGTCAGTCTTAGGAACCTGGAAATTAGACAACACTTGGCTGAGAGAATGTTCATTCCTAATAAGTTTGTGCTAAGAAGCCACATGCTAATTAGACTTGGAATATGTGTCTTTTCATTGTCACATCATAAAATTGGGAGGAGTATTCACTGTTACCATTTCAGGTTTCGATATGACCCACAAACATAGGTACAGATGTGTGTGTAAATATAGATATAACTATTGTTTTCAACTGGCTTGTGTTCCCTCCAAATTCATATGTTGAAGCCCTAACCCCTAGTACCTCAGAATGGGATTGCATTTGAAGATGGGGCATTAAAGAGGTAACTGAGGTAAGGTGAGGTCATATGAGTGAGCCCTAACCCAATGTGACTGGTGTCCATATAGAAATAGGAGATTAGCCTGTAATCCCAGCACTTTGGGAGGCCAAGGCAGGTGGATCACAAGGTCAAGAGATCGAGACCATCCTGGTCAACATGGTGAAACCCCATCTCTACTAAAAATACAAAAAATTAGCTGGGCATGGTGGCATGTACCTGTAATCCCAGCTGCTTGGGAGGCTGAGGCAGGAGAATTGCCTGAACACAGAAGGTGGAGGTTGCAGTGAGCCGAGATCACGCCATTGCACTCCAGCCTGGGTAACAAGAGCGAAACTCTGTCTCAAAAAAAAAAGAAAGAAAGAAAGAAAGAAATAGGAGATTAGGACACAGATATATGAAGACCATGTGAAGGCACAGGAGAGGATGACCTTCTATAAGCTAAGGACAGAAACCTCAGAGAAAACCAACTCTGCAATCACCTTGATCTTGGACTTCCAGCCTCCAGAATTGTGAGGAAATAATTTTCTGTTGTTTAAGCTACCTAGTCTGTGGTTCTTTGTTAAAGCAGCTATAACAAATGAATACAGATATAGACATAGTTTGATTTTACTTTAATTCTTATATCATCACTCACAAGAAACTAATGGAGCCCACTGAAGAAGATGCCCCTAAAAGTTGTTATTAGGTCATGATAGCTATCATTATTATTCCACTCTATGCTACCTACATACAAAGTTGTCTTTGGAGCTTTTCTTTTTTTTTTTTGAGTTGGAGTCTCACTCTGCCACCCAGGCTGTTGGCTCACTGCAACCTCTGCCACCAGGGTTCAAGCAACTCTCCTACCTCAGCCTCGAAGTACCTGGGATTACAGGCATCCACCACCACACCCAGCTAATTTTTGGTTTTTTTTTTCAGTAGAGACAGGGTTTCACCATGTTGGCCAGGCTGGTCTTGAATGCTGGACCTCAGGTGATCAGCACATTGTATATAAGATGTATAGAGAGAATGATAATGATAGTTATCATGATTTAATAATAAAGTGCTTGAAAATCACCACTTCTTGTATCAAGAGTCACCATATACAAGCTTTATTACTTTGTGGAATTGGTTTTGTGGAATTTGTTTTCAAAGATAAGTAGAATTATTATATTTCATCTACTCTAAAATAATAACCCAAATAAACATGTTTATTTTATATACCACTAAAATAAAAAAATGTGTTAGTTATGACACAATGCTTTCTTATCCCTTATTTTTTAATTTTTTAATTAATCAAAAGAATCTTTTTAGATTCAGACTCCCTCCCTCCAATTTCACTCTTGTTTTGTGGATGCCATGGGGTGCTTTTTAAAAAAAGATATGGAGGTTGCAACCTTGCATAGGGCCAAATAATCACTTACTCTTACACTTTGCCTGGGTCTCAGCTGGTCCCTATTCATTATGTAGCATATGGAATTCTTTGGCATTTGTATCTTCCATATTGGGTCATGTTGTCAGAGCTGGTTAGGAACAGATCACAGGCTACATAGCTGTAGCCCTGTCATAGCCCAATGCCCTGTCTCCTCATACTCATCTTGGAGTCTTTGTGGTAACTCAAAGGACTTAAGGGTGTGGAGTCAGTTGGAGTTGGGTGTGAATCCCAGCTCTACTCTTCCCCTCCCTCCCATGTACCATTGAGCAGGACACTTAACCTCCCTGAGCCTCAGTATCCTCAGAGAGATAAAATGGTGCAAGAACATGGTTCTCTGGGAAAGGTGCTATCATTATCAACCCCATTCTACAAATGAAGAAACACGAGACTCAGAGAAGTTAAGTAACTTGCCTAAAGTGATACAGGCACACAAGGATTTAACTTGTGGCAGCCTACCTCCAAAGACTTGGTCCTTACCCACTGTGCATAGTGATCCTCACTGCAAGAACTTCCTTATGAGAGAGGCTTTAAATCATGTCACTTTATGAGTATAGTTTAAAAGAAACCAGATATTTTTATAAGTGAGAGAATTTCCATTTAAGAAGTCTAAAGATTTTAGAACAACTAAATCATCTATGCTTGGTAGCTTTTTAAGTATTTCTTTTCTCAACATTTTCAAATACTTCATGATACTTTATTCCTGTTGCTCAAAAAATTTTTTCTTCCCAATCACCTCGCAAGTTATCAATTGATTCAATTTCCTGCCAGTAAAGTCAGAACCAAATGTTTTTTTACGGAGTCCACTCAGAACTTATGGTTTATATTCCACTGGAAACCACAGCCAATAGGGGCCAGAAAACACTCGGTTATGTAGCCA